CCCCCCTTCCAAGCGAGCAGGAGGACACCACCCCACGAATAACCCCCCTGTACACCGACGGTGCATTCCCTGCCGTCCCCATCCTCCCCCATGCGGCTGCCACACCACCTATTTTTGCGGATTTGCCATCTTACGGCCACCAAAGAAGGTGTGTGTGTGTGTTTGCGTGTGTGTTTGTGTGTGTGTGCTGGAGGGTGAATCTGGACGCCTGACCCTTGGGTGCGGCGCGTCCATCAAGGAAGCGAATTCCTCATCGCCTGTCATTTGGTTTGGTTTGGGTTGCCTCCGCTTTTGCAAATTCACGGTCGGAAAACCGCAGCCATCGACGACCCCCAGTGCAGCAGGTTGTTCCGATCGGGGATCGACGCCAACAACGGTTGGGATGTTCAATGCGGGCGGGTTGAACGGTTGGGCAGAGGACCCCCTGCTGATCATAGCGCAAACCTGGGGAAGCCACACATCATCTGGGCCGCTGTGGAGAGATCTCGATACCCCAGACAGGTGCGTGCGCGAATGCAACAGCCTCTTTTTTTCTTCTTTTTTTTCTCTCTCTTTTATCTTGAGGGAATAGTAATAGTATTATCATAACGGAAAAACTCAGCAACAAACCCCCAAAGGCGGGCAGGCAGCACATGGCAAGGGGGTGGTGTATGTAAGCTCGTAAATGAGCCAGCTCTTCGTCCCATGTGAGATGTGAGGCGTGTGATTCGGGTCGACGCGCAGGGCAGGATCTCGTCGCTTGCAGCAGGGCTGGGGGGTGTCCCTTTTTTTTTCTTTTTTTTTCCTTTTCTTTTTACCCGCCCATTTAGCCTGTGCTAAGCGGAGCACGGGGGAATTGTTCTCGAGGGGCTGCAGGCGCTACACCAACGGCACTCACTGCCAGACGAGGTAGGAGGTCCCCTCGTGGTCCCCACCACCCCTCCCCCCATCCCAGCCGGCCCTGCAGCGGGCGAGGCGGTCAGAGGAGGCTGTGCGCGCGGCGGCGGCATGCGCCTAGAGTGTGCGCACATAGACGCACCAATGCCGCGAGCGCGCGCGTGTTCCCCGTCCTGCTGCAGGCGAGGCAGGCATGTGCGCGCGCGCGCGCGCGGTATTGGGGCGGATCGAGAGGGAGAGAGGGCTAGAATGGGGCCGTCGCTCCTCTTCTGCCTGCTGCGGTGGGCTCGATGGGGTTATGGGCTGGCGGCCCAGATTGGTTGCAGTTTTGGTTCGATGCCAGCCAAGGGAGGGGAGAAGGGGAGGGGAGAAGCGGAGGAGGACACTCACTCACATGAGAGACATCAGGCGTTGGGAGGCATTTCAGGTACGGCAAAAAGGTCTAGGCTCGATGCCACCCCCTGCCTCGGACCTCCTTCACTACAACGTCGTCCTCCACGACGAAGCGAGAATGGAAAGGGAGGAGGTGTACACAAGAGGTGTATACAAGAGACACCACTCCTTTCCGCAAAAAAACGCAACGTAGCTCTTTCTCGAGCTATCTTTCCGATTTGGGCCCTGCCGCCGCTCCCTAAATGGCTCAGAAGCGAGCTGCTTCGAGACACTCAATCGAGATAGGGCGACTGTGAGCCAGATTAGGGATTTTTGTATTTTTACCATCTTTCTTTTTGTTTTAGCGATTTGTTTCATTTTGTCCAATTCCCATTCATCTCATTTCTTTGAGCCAACACCCACTCCATCTCCACCTATCCCCATACCTGCTTCCCTAGCGTCATTCCATTAACGGCACATTCCGCGGCCGACGTGTCAACACCTCCTACATGACAAAAAATCTGCCTTTCTGGACACTATAGGGGCTCAAGTGACTGCCATCTCACCCACCTACTCGCCGCCCCAGGAGCAGATATGCGTCGCATCCATGGAGTTGCTGACGCCATGTGGGGGTGGTGGTGGTGGTTGCTCCCGAAGCACCCTTCATCCATCACACGCCAAGGGGCCTGCCGTCGCTGTAATTTGCAGCCAGGAGGAACTAGCGTGATGCCCATGATTATTATGGTGCATCTGCCCGTCAGCACAAGCGTCCTCTGCTCGGCGGCGCTACAGCGCTGTCATCTAAAGGAGAAAAAGGAACGGACCGGAGCATTAGCTGGCTCCTGGCCGCCATTGCCGTCGTCTGTCATCTGCTTCAGACCCGCCAGCAACTTCCTTTCCCCTCACTTGGATGGTGGTCTCGTGGCCCAGCACCCATCGCCCTGTGCTTAGTCAAACCACGCACACCATCCTCAACGTCCCCCAGCCTCTCGCCTCGCCGGTCTCGAGTCCATCCTCCCTTTCCAAGCCAAGATCTGTCTCAAGGGGTGCGCCTTCCAAGGGGCAGAGATTGGTCACAAGGGCCACAACCACGCATTGCCAGATGGAGCTCCCCCTGAAGCCTCGATTATTGAGACAGTAAGCTCCCAGATAGGGAACCGCAACCTAACTAGGCACACACACACACACACACACACACACACACACGGAAGCCACGTAGGCTCCGAGGTGTAGCGGATGGCACGCGGAGCGTAGCGGCCGGCTCGGACTATGTCCCTGCCGTGTTGCGCCCGGGCCGCTGTTCCATCCGAGACCCATGTGACGGTAGTGGTGGTGGTGACGGCCAATCTCCTTGTTTTTTTGTTTTTTTTTTCAAAACGGACCGCTCGCCGGTCTGCCTTCCCCCTGAACGAGATTCCAAACCCCGGCGGGCGAGACATTCCGCCAGGGGCATCCGGGCGGGCCCAACCGCCCGGCGCGCGTGTGTTTTTGGGGAGCTTTGGTCCGGCGGCGATGAGATATCGTTCCGGCCCCCTAATGTCAGACCATTATCACCAGACATGCCCAGGCAGCAGAATCTCCCCGTTTCCCCCAGATCACTCTTCCCCATGGGCAAGTTTCTGCTTATTACTTACTCATGTCACTTATTGGTTGATAAGAACTGTGCCCCCTGGCCTTAACAGATCTCTTTCTAAATACGTCTTGGTGGATGGGATGACAGCAGCCTGCGAGCCAGGTCACGCGCAGGCTGCCGCTTTTCGATATTTGTCTCGTGCGGGTGGCTCGACTTGAGACCGGTCTGTCTGGACGGAAACCGCCATCTCACTTCGTCTCTTCTTGCCCGCGCCGTTGATCCCTCAACTCAAGGAACAGGCTCTCAAGGAACAGGTATTCCCCTGTCGCCACGCGGCTGCTTCAAGGGGCGGGGGCTGACAAAGACACGGCGCCACCCACTCTCTCTCTCTCTCTCTCTCTCTCTCCTCTGAGAGAACCCTCCAGGTCGTTTCCAGACTTATGGCATTGGCTGCCCGGACACGGTCCTGTATGACAAGAGGTGATGATTCAGAGTATTTTTTTAAGGACATACTTCTGTTACAACAGAATCGCCCCCTCCGGGACTCGGTCGCACGGGTGTCTTGTATCCGCAGCTGGGCCGAAAGCGCCAACGGCCGTTAGTTGGCCACCGAGGACACAAGGGAACCAAAACATGGAAGAGCTATCTCATTCGCCGTCTTCCCGTGACTCTTTCCCGTTGTACAGTCGCCCCGAACAAAAAAAAAGGGGGGATCCTTCTCGCCCTCGCCTTATTGCTTCTCGGAAGCATGTCTCGACCTGGAGTTTGGACCGAGACAGCCACTGACATGACGCCCGCTTCCGCGGCTGGGGGAGGTAGGTTTACGCGCACGGCAGTGTTTGCTGCCTCTCCATTCGCCGGAGCAGGGTTTTTGTGTGAGAGCCGGCTCGGCATAGGGAAGGGTATATTTGCCATGTACCTCTCGTAGGAATCGAGGTATCGTGACTTTTTTTTTGTTCTCCGCTTGGTCCTTTTCCCACACGGGCTATGGGTTACACTCGGCCTCGTATTTTACTCATCGTGTCCGATGGCCACCCTTGGGTGTATATGTCTTTGCGAAATGACAGAGAAAAAAAAAGGACAGAAAAAAAAAAGACAGAAAAAAAAAACCTTGACGGAAGTTTTCACATTTTTATTCCTTCCTATGCATCCACCCCCTCTGTTTCGTAGTGCACAGGCCATATCAAGGCCGCTCCCGGCATCGCCTTGGCTGCACCCTCCCGGACAAGCGTGCTGACGCGAGCAAAACACTCGCCCGCTGGTCGCCATCATCCTGGCATTGGCGGGAATATCAAGTCCAGGTCAGCGTCTTGTCGCATTTTCCTCATCATTCACATCAACCCCCTTGTATCTTTAATCTCTCTTCCAAAGCTGACGCCGTTAATATGCCACGCCAGCCCCGTGGGGCCGTACAAGGAAGGGCGGTGGTGGCCTTTTCGATTACGCTGCTTACATGTCGCTTCCACTTCTCACCGTCACCGCATCATGCCAGGTGGCTCCCAAAACTCCCCCCATGTAGATCTTTGTCGTGACAAAGGAATCCGTCGCACGCGCGCATTGGCATCGGTGACGGCCGCCCCCTTTCCCATATCACATCACACACACACACACACACACACGCGGGGGGAGAGCCAGCAGCAGAAGAGGGAGGGAGGTCAGCAAATGGAACCCCCACGTCTCCTAGGGGGAGGGGAGGCCCAGATATGGTGCAGGATAGGGAATATTATGGGCAAATGATTGAGCACATGGAACGATAAGCTGCAGCATGTACCCATGTGCCTTTGGCTTGGAACAATCAAATCAACCAATGCCATTTTGCCCTCCAACGAGACTCCTCCCTCGGCCCCGTCGCCCTTTTTCCTTCCTGCCCGACCAACGGCGGCCCCGGCCGTTCCCGTCAAGCCAGTGCGCGCTCCGCCGGCCGCTGCTTCCTTCTACTACTCCGCAAAGCCCGCCGATCGGCGATAGCCTAGCGACATTTGAGTGCCGCCCACCCCAGGCGTTGCAGTCGGCGCGCGGTCAGTGGTAGAGACTTGTCCCCTCTCCCTGCCTGCCGCCTGCCGGGCTGCGGCTGCTCTGTCCCGCCAGGATGGATATGGATTGGCAGAAAGGCAGACAGACGGGAAGGGGGGCAGAAGGACACATGTCGCCATCGCATCGACTCCTCCTCCTCATCCTCATCCTCCTCCTCCCCCATGCTAGCACCGAGGCGGGAATCGGCCCGTCCGCGCTGACGCCCCACACTCAAAAAGGAGGGAAGGCCAGACGGAAGGATTTCCATGTCCACCACAAGGGGGGGCGGGGCGTACCTGGACTTCTTTCCGCAGGCGGTCTACCACCAAATTGCAATCCGCCGCGGGGGATGCGAGTGAGAACGACAGAAGGAAGCGAGGTCCCGGGGGTTAGTTAGCGACATGTGCACCGAGATGGTCCGCCTCTGGGCGCAGAAAAAGGCAGCCTTTTTTTTCCCCCAAGGTCAGGTGAGAACTGATGCCGGCCGTGTGTAACGCGCCAAATATATTGCTGTTTTGCTGACGGGATCGGTTGGAGGGCCTTCCTGTCCAATCTCCAGCGCCTTCCCCGCGACCAGACAACGGCGATCAGCCACCTCTCGAGTCCGCCCGTCTGTGTTGATTTGATGCAACAATCAACAATGCACTGTAGTCGCTTTGCCCCGCTGGTCAGCACACGGCACATCAATCATTTCTGTCTTGACCCAGACTTGCAAATGGACATCTACCACCTACGTCAGACATTGGCGATCTCCATTCTTTCCCCCAAGGTACAGTACGGTGTACAGTCCGTACGGTACTGTGCATTTACCGTCGCACAGGACTCAACATCTCCGACGTCATCCAATCCCAATTGGCCAGCCCGACCAGAGGGCGAGGGCGTTTCCGTTCTGGGGAAGTGGTTCGCTGCAAGCAGGCTGAGCTTGACTCGTGCGACTTTTTTTTGCCCCCAATTGACGGTGCCATGCCGCGCGCTTTGGCCCTGCCCGCACCGTCACTTGAGCCTTTTTTTTCCTCGCCCCGATTGAGGGGGGAAAGCCACCACGATCCGACCGCGAGGCTCCATCCATCGTCGAGATCCCCCCTGATTCCTGGCACCTGCCCACCAGGCAAACAGATCGCGCGGACCGGGGTCAGCGGCTCCATTGGAGAGGGGAAGGTAGGTACATCTGGGAACCTCGCACGTTTTCCTGCTTGGCCTATGTCTGGGCCTTCTTTTCGAGGGAGTGGCGTGCGGTCGGCGGGCCATGGGCTTTTTGCCCGCATGACCTCAATCCGCGGCGGGACGACCCCCCTCCTCGGTGCCGCACCCCTCCCAGCCTCTCCCGCGCAATCTCTTCAGGGCCCCATGAGAAGCGGCAGAGGCAATGCGCGTGGCCCAGCGCGCGAAAGGAAGCCGCGGCCAGGCTGACGAAGGGGGGGGGAAAGGAGGGGAAAGGGGAACGTTTTGGATTCAAGCGCCGCGGCGCGGGACGAAAAGTTGCACCCCTCAGAGCCACCACAAAGCCATCACCAACAACAATCACGACCCCTTTTGGAGCAGCCTGGGCTCACCGCCACCTGGCACTCGTTCCCCTCGTGCGACGTGGGTTGGGCACCCGAGGCCATCCTGCTGACCTATTCGGGGATTGCGGATGAGGGCGCTAACAGGAACAAACAAGGAATCGAAATGAAATAAAAAAATAATAAAGCGTACCACTGAACACTGCAAGGCGCCGTGAGACCGTGAGCGGGACGAAAGAGTGAGAGAAAAAAAAAACGCAGCAGGTCAACTGACACTGAAACATTTTGTGCCCACCGTTCAGTCCCCACGAGATAAGAAAATTAGGGGTCCTGGGGGTAAAGGTCGATGCCAGTTGTCACTGTCTCAGCGAGCACACCACCTCCAAGGCTTTGCCAGCACATCGATCATAACCATAAGAGGGGCTTTTGGGAGACCCAGAGCCTACCATCTCGACTTGACGGTCACGATATCCGATATTGACGTCTTTTTTTTTTGGTCTTTTTTGGTCGGCTCACGAGAAAGCTGGCAAGCCCAAGGACCGCATAGCAAAATTCAGTATCATGGGCACGAGGACACACCAAAGGCCACGAGGACTAATACCCCGCCGCCCCAAGCCGACGGGATAGCAGCAGCAGCAGCAGCAGCAGCAGCACTACCCTTGACCCGCTCTCGCCTTGCACACCCCACATGCACATGTATAATATAAACAAACAAAAACCCTATAACCGCCTAGCGGGGGAAAAAAAACAAAGGAGCAAATTACTGCTTGGGGCTGCGGCAGAACGTTGCATCTGCCTGTAGGATGCACACGTCAGGTGCAGCTGCACGTACAGTACATCATGTACGCGCCCCATCCAGGAATGGGGGCCAGCGAGCAAAGTCTAACCAGAAATCAGGTTCTATGTTGCAGCGATTGCTAGCTGGATGGGGTGATGGGCGTGGTGATGGTTTATTTTGGGACGCGACAGGGCTGAAAACCGCTGTCGGTCGCCGAGGCGGATCGCCATTCCTGCCATCAGTCAGCCAGGTCAGTCATCCAGGCTTCCAGGCAGCGGGTGGGACAGAAGGACGACGGGCACGCGGGCTCGGCCGGCTTTCGTCCTTCGGCTCCGGGAGGAGAGGGCACATGTCCTCGCCCATCCCTCTTATCGTGATGCGACAGCGGCCACAATAAACAGGCGCGTTGCTTACGTGCACATATATACATATATACATACATATATACGTACATGGATTATGTGTGGCTGATACGTGCCGATGCATACACACATCCAGATATGTGGATATACATGCGAGATGAAAAAAAAAACAAGCAGGTTGCCCTGTCTGCATATGTGCCTAGCACCCCCCGCCACGATCTGCCGTGCGGCAGTGCTAGGAACACGGGACCGCCAACCAGGCTGAAGGCTTACACCTCTGCCTGCATTCTAACAACCCAAAGAAAGAACCCCCCCGCCTGCTTGCTTGCTCGCTGCCGGACCAGAAGGGGGCGTTTTAACCGAGCGGCGGGGACATTTATGTAATACACGTCACGGGCCAGCGGAACCTGTCAGCAGAACCGAACCGCCCCTATCATGAGGGCGGCAATGCATTTTCACTCAATGCCAACCTGAGAGGATCCAAGGCACAGGAGGAGAATCCATCGTCACTCGGTCCCCACGACGACCCTTGCCTCGCCGGTGGGTTGAAGCGGGACCATGTGACTTTGGCTAGTGTATATTCATGGCCGTCGATAAAATGGTTCCTGTTTTTTTCTTTATTTTTAACACTCGACATGAATTTATAGCCTCGATTACCTAAAGCATATCCAGGAAATCAACCCTAGGCCAAAGCAGGTACCACCGCATCGTCGCGTCCCGAAGAATCTTCGTCGGCGGTGGGCACATCCAGGGGCCATCTGCCATGGTAATGCCAGATCCAAAGAGGGGGGTTTGGTGGAGGGGGAGGAACTATCCCGACGGGACTTGGTGGTGATGGAGACAGGTGTCGACAGACGATCGTCGTCGCCGTCGTCGTCGTCGAGCTCACGTCCCTGCTCGACTGTGAAACCTAACCAAGCGAGGGCCTTGGAGGATCTGGGGTTCGGCTCTCGTTTGTGGGGAAGAGTGAAAGAAAAAAAGCAGGAGGCTCAATGCGTTGCCCCATCACGATGATCGCGTGGTGCGCAAGCGCCATGGCGTCTTTGTTCCAGGGATCACAAACACTAATGCGGTGGAGCAAGATACATTTTTTTCCTTGGAAAACCAAGCCAAACTGATGTACCACCAGGATCCACAGTACTAAGGTTTGTGATCCCTGGGACCTGTAGAGGTTCGCTGGGTAAACAATCATCCTGGGGCTCACCCCCGTTCCCTTTTGCCACTCACACTCACACAATTGACAACCGGCAAAGACGCCGTAGCAACATCAACTGACTCGAGGGCTCGGAGAGGGCCTCCGGACAAGCGACCGGAGATGCCCCGGTGTTGGTTTTCTGTTTGTTGGAGAATTGGGCGTGTGACGTCCTCGGGGTTGTGTTCGTGCTGGCTGCCTTGGCCCGAAATGTAACGTGCGTCGACTTGTCGTTGGCGACGGCTCCGACTCAGCGTGTGTCAACGGAAACCGATTGTGGCTTTTTGGACTTCGGCCGCATCCCGCACTCCCGCGAGTTTATTACAGTTCTCTCTCCAGTGCTCTCGAGATCTGCGCTTCCCCACTCGCTAATCTGTGCATGTCATTTGTACCTGCCCGACAGCCTCAAAGACAAAACACAAGAAAAAAAAGAAAGCAAGAGAATCAAGAATGGGACCGACGGGACCGATGGACAAGATAGAATAGGGATACGGCTGATGAAAGGAAGGGAGAAGCGGACAACCGACAAAAAAAATATGCCACAGGGGTCGCTTGCATGCCCGTGGCTGCAAAGTGCTCAGATTAATCCAAGCGCAGTGATCCGCGTGCCCACCTCTCCCTGTGATCCCCGGGATAAACCAGGTTGTCGGGCTTTCTCTATTGGAACCAACCCGCGGGGGAGAGGGAGGATAAGCAAGATGGACTAATTGTACCAGATCCTCCTCAGACCAGATCGATCTTGGCACCGCCGAGGTGCAACGAGGATCGGAAGGGAGGGGGGTGGGTGGTGCTCCCCCAAAGGGATGCATGGTTCTGTTCCTGGAATGTCATTTCGTGTCTGTTTTGATTGAACCTTTCTCTTCCCTCGGACGTGTTCATCCCATCCCTTATCTGCTTTTGCCTCCCGCGGGGGGTTTGGCGAGCAAAATGGCCAGGGCGGCCTGCCAGCTGGAAATAATCCTAGCCTGCCAAGGTGTTGTGCTGCCAAGGAGGGGGGGTCATTTGGAGTGTCTCCTAATCGGAAAAGAAAATTGAGCGAAAGCAAAGAAGAAGAAAATGCGTATCAGCCACATGCTGAGTTTTGGGGATTCACACCAAGAAAAAGGAAAGGAAAAAAAGAAGAAGCAAGTGTCATTCCCCCTGATATTCCTTTTCTTTGCTTTTTCCGACGCCCATTCTCGTCATGGTCGCCGAACCCGAGCCAGCGGCCCACCCACCCACACGCGAAACCGTGGAAAGGCCGATTTTTTTTTCTTGTGGTTTTGACAGGGTCGGATTGCACAAAAAAGCAGCCAAACCAAGCCAGGCTGGCGGCGGACGGGGAAGCCATCCCCTGGTCTCCCGGCCGTGAGACAAAGCAAGCATGGCGGCCAAAGCCCGCGGAAGCAGTGCAAGTGCAGGCCATTTGTCCCCCTCGTCGCAGGCACCACGACAGATGCCTCCCCTCCCCGCCCGGCAGAGAAACCTGTCACAAAGTGATCGATCACTTGCACCATGATCAATTATTAGTCACCCCACACTCCTTTCGCAAGCATCACCAAACACAGGCGACAAAAGAGATATGATTGCGCAAGGGAGGGCGCGGACACGGACGCACACTCCGTGCCTTGGGGGGTTTTTTTAGTTTCGTGTCAGCTCGTCGCCATCCCGCGCACGCGCGCGCGGGCAGCCGGAGCGCGTTCCGCCCATGTCACCATTCCCACCCTCCCCCACCCTCCCCGGAGGCTTCCCCGTGTTCCCACCCAAAACTATCGGGGTTACTAAATGAGGCACACTGCGAGGCTGCTAGTCATAGACGGACACTACCCCCCCGAAAACTAGTTCTGGCTCTAGGAGAAATGGAGGAAATTCCCCGCGCCAGTCATATTAAGTCGTTATATAACAATGCCGCTCTGTGCTTTTAAAAGGGGTCACGAAATCCCTCTTCGTGGGGGGCCGTGGTGGCAGGGCGCCGCACCGGGTGAGACAGCTCGACCTATTAAAGGACCAAGGGGCGAGCATACTTCCTGTTTGAGTTCCTAGTGTGAGCGGTTGTTGTGGTGTGGTGTGGTGGGTGTGGTGGGTGGTGGGTGGTTGTGTGTGTGTGAGCGAGTGTGTGAGTGTGTGTGTGTGTGTGTCTGTTTGCCTGTGGTGTTTCCGTGTGGGTGTGAAAGTGGGGCATGCAGCGTGGGGGTCCGGGGGAGGGTCGTGGAGGGCCTTGCAGCCGTGGAACCGCGTCGTGTTCCTATTGGCTACTGGGTCGGCAACCTGGGCCTCGACGATGGGGTTCCTGTCTGTGCTCTGCTTGTCCGTTCCCGATCCCCTGTCACCCTCCCTCTCTTTTGGCTTCTTTGGGCTCACCACCTGACCTGCAAATGCAAATGCAAATTCCGCCCCCAAGCCTCACTTGGCTGCACCCGAGGGAGAAGCAAAGATGAATTTGTCGAGCAGACTGCTTTTTGATAACATTGAGTGCTTGTATTATTTTAGCCGTTTAGAGTAAAATCGCAGCCCAAACTCAAGTCTCAGCTGCCCGTTTGTTGTCAGCTCGGCACCCATGTCATCACAGACGGTTGACCCCAACTCAAAACCGTGCTCAGCGGGACCCATTTTTAGTGCGGCCGCGGGGGAAACCACCCCCAGGCCCGCGCAAAGGCCTGGCCCAATCAGGAGCGCCTCAGCCCGCCTGTGCTCGCCAAGGACTTGGGCTGGCCCTTTTCCCTTTTTTGGGCTGGGCGGCCAACGAGTCCGTCCGCCTCGTTATATTTGGCAGCCCTTTGACCACGTCCTTGCATCCCAACGCCCCGGACCACGTAGCCTTTTTGATTGCTAAGCCCATGTATGTATGGCTTTAGGCATGCATGCGCCCGCGAGTTGCCGGCTCCGAGCCAGCGGCTTTCGACGATTTTCCTGGCCTAGGTGGCCACACCTACTGGCCACCACAACCTGCTGGCCTCGTATCCGGAAGCGAGCACGGAGATGGATGGATGCACAATATCTCGATTACCGATTTGTAAAAGCATACATGCATTGTTTGCGCGTCGGCTCCGGGATATAGCAGCAGTGATCGTTTGTGGCGGGCAAACAAATAATGGCTTGTTACATAGCCATCATTTCGCCTTGACTGCCACATTCACCGTCAGCACTAAGCATGGGTTGCGGTCGGTACATTTGGCGGAACGGGCGGTCCTAGAAATATGACCAGGACAATAGAATCCATCGCACCGAGGGCTGAGTGTGGCTCCTGCTTGGCGGCGCGATCCCGCCGCGGGATGTGCCCGGGATTCCATCAAACCCTCAGGGGAAGGCTGATTGAGCCGGCACTTCCTAAGCCCTGCCACCACCACCCACCCGCACTGGGCGAGAAGGATACTGAAAAAGGAAAGGAGGGAGGGAGGGGAAAAAAAAAACCCACCGAAAAACACGCGGGATGACCCATTATCCGCGTTGCCAGAGCCTGGGGAGGAGGAATGGCTTCCGACCCGACCCCGAGTGACAAATCCAGCATGGGGAAGCGAACAGACCAGGGGTATGTATGCAAGACGGAAACGCGGCCGTGTAAAATACGAGCGCAATCAGATACAGCATATTGCAATACTCGAGCTTCACTGATCAGAGGTGCAGCCTGAGCCTACCTGGCAACGCCACGCACGCAGCTAAGGGGGCTGGGCTGTGGTCACTTGACGCGGGTCGCAAATGTTGCCACCAGCCTCGATTGGCGTTGCGCAAAAGTCCCCCTCTTGGTCCTCCAGGCAGAAGACAGAAGGAGATCAATGCTCGGCAAATAAACATTCGGCACAAGCCAGCATCGCCAGAGGGAAAAGACCTCGGGCCGTCGCAGGCCAAACAAAACAGCAAGGGGTGGGAATCATGACAAGTGCAACAGTCCCTGGCTGAGACGTTGCCGTAGCCGCGGCAAACACAGGTCTCCTTGTGCCCGGGTCGCAAAGGTCACGGGTCGCGGCAAAAGGGAAGGCCAGGGAGGGCGACCACAGGGCGGTGGCCACTGGCTGGCTGGTCACCAGGGGAGTCACGGACCGCTGGCCTCAGTTCAAGTTTCCAAGGGAGGAGGGAGAGTCAGCAAATCCGGCACGCCTGCTCGGCCACGGCCACCATGTGTCACTAGGAGGGATGAGGGATGGTGGATGGATGCGACGTGGATGCCTTTCTCGCCGCCCCAGAAAAACCCAAAAATTCAAAAACCACAAACGACGCCCGGGGGATGATTAATGGCTGACGTTTGCCCCTGCACTGGCCGCAATGTGATCGAAAGGCCTCGTTCTGGGCGCGACGGGGTGGACGTGTCCACGCTCAGGGGCGTCGGATTGAGCATGGGCCCTTTTCCTGCATTCTCGTCCTCACTTTCGTTTTTCGCATTGGACGACGGGCTGTTTGGGGAGAGGGGGAGCATGATTTCTGGACGGCCATGTGATGGCGGCCTATTTGCAGGTCATTGCCGGAAACAGAACGCGGGATCATCCTCAGTCCGCTCCAGCGAGCTCCAGGCCCTCGGCTGGGCTGCTAGGTACTGGCATCCTGGGTTTGGGGAAGGACCCTGGGTGCAATGGGAAAAAAGAAAAAAAAAGGCCCGGGCTGGACCAACGGAGCGACCTCCGGCAAGGGCCTGCTGACCTTGCTTTCAGGCAAGACGCCACGATTCGTCGCCCGCCCAGGGGTCCAGACACGCCAATTTCCGGGGGAGAGGTACCTGAGCTGGACGGGTGGCTGTGGTCACGTCTCCTGCCCTCCTGCTTCTGCTCTTCCCGACGGCTTTTGCTGCTGGCCCACCTGACTCTCTCCTGGCTGTCCGCCTTGCGTCTTTTTCTGGCCTTCCAGCCTCAACTGACTTGGCTGACGGGCAACGTGCCGTCGACCCCAAGGCCCTGAATTGGCGGTCAGGGAGAGACCGGCCCATTCCAAGTTATTCAAAGCACAACTTGGACAAGAATCCGTGCGGAGCCAAAGCTGGAGCCCGTTGTGAAAAAAACCGGAACCGATGCGCGACCGTTGGTTCTCATTTGAGGCTGCGCAAGTGTTGCCGGCAGTGGGTTTGATTCCAGAACTGCCAGTGTTTGTGCTGGCTTGAGGGGGTGCGAGACCAAGTCAGAAAACCAAGTCAGAAAAACATGCCACCGCTAAAATCTCTTTCCAAATTGGGACGTCCCCAAAGGGCAGTCGGGCCCACGACAAGCGTCGCGAAGCCGCTAGACTGCTTCCGGAACTATTTTCTCTAACCGACCTTCTGATCTATGCCATTTGGGGTCATTTCCCCACAGGAACCTGTATCCGTCTCCCTGGGCGGATTGCCCGTCATGTGACCACAGGTACCTCGACTGGACGCAGCAACCCATGGCAGACACACCCCCCCCCAAGGGGCCAGGGAACACTTCCTAGAACGGACAAGCGCCGACAGCGCCCAGGCCGGAATAGGGAATTGGGCCCAAGGCGTAGAGGGATCAACCTCAAGGTCCTGTCGTTTTGGGAACAGCGCCGTGCCGGTGTTGCTTAAATTACCCTTCCAAGCATAGTCTTGTTTCCCTTCCCGCTCGAGAGCCTCTCCCTTTCATGCCTTGGCCGTGGAGAGCGCTGGTGCCAGCCGTCCGGGCTCAAGGTTCCCTCCCACCTTTGCCCCCTATCTCGTCGTCTGTCCGCCCTGGCGACGGGCATCCCTTCGAGGAGCCATAAGAGCGAGAGCAAACACCGTCGCCGGACGGGCGTGTTTGGCTTGAGGCGGGCAAACGGGACGATGGGAGCAGCTCTGTGGTGGGAAGGGAGGAAGGCGGAAGTCAACCACTTGAGCGGAAGACGATCCGGGGCGGCGGCCAGCACAACCTCATCACAAGGCGCGGGATGGGATGGGTGCTAAGCCTGGGGCAGAAGTAGCCTGAGCCTCCGACCACCGTCACGTTGCGAGCGCATGCGAGTCTCGCGGCGGTCTCGCAAAGTTCCTTGGCGGTCACCGGTCATATCCGCTGGGTGGAGGGCGATGGACTAGCTACATGGTGGCTACAGGCTGGGTACTGGCCTGGTCGCGTCTAGAAAGTCCTGCGGTACAAAGCGCAGCGACGGGCAGAGGGCGGGTGGCCAAATGTGGGTTGTGTGGGGACCGGACGGGGGCGCCAACCCAGCGCGCGCAGGGATAGGCAGGGAAACGGAGGAAGGGGGTGTGCGACAAGGGGCCTGGTCAGAAAGGTACTTGGGTACTTGGGTACCTGAGTACTTGGGTACAAACGCCATGTACCAAGTACGGGGGGTACATGGATCATCGTCCTTTTTTACCTCACCGCGAGTTGGAGGTCGGCTCCCCCTGCCTGGTCGCTCGGGTCCACGAGTGCACCCCCATCCCACACTGGGCTGCCCGGTCCTTGCCTATTCCTCCTCATCCACCACCTCAATAATTACACCTCGATTCGCACTCCCCCAAAGGTCCACCCTCTTGCTCTCCCCTTCCCATAAACATAACAAGACAGCATCAACCGCCTGCTCCGCACTTTTTGTGATTGTTGGTTTTCTTTCTGCATCGCACAACCATCGCGCCCAACTGAAAGCCTCAGTCAAACTCTCCCCGCCCAGGAACTAGCACGCACCAGCGCGCAGCTTCCGGAGATATCCCACTCCTGGAGCTTTATATCATCGCATCCCAAACCCGTCTCGCCGCCATATCGCCCTGCCCGCACCTTTGCGCTGAGCCACGACGAGAGCAGCAAACCACCTCCACCCCGGTGCCGATTACCACACCCACTTCTGAAAGACGCAGCGCAGTCCAGAGACTGCCTTGAGCAGACGCCGTTCGCGATCGCCTCGCGAACACCCCCGACGACATTACGGACGCCGCAATTCCCACGCACGCTCGACCCGCCGAGCGGACATCGCGCACCACCATGCCTTGTCTTTTAGACACACCCGTACTCAAGGTCGACGCCGAGGCCATCCACCGCCTCGACACCCGCGACCCCCAGAACCTCTTCAGCGTGTGGACTGGTGAGTTAGCCCCGCTGTGGCAGCACGTCCGGGCCAGGCCGGCGGCCGGCGCTGGGAACCCTTTTTTTGGGAACCCCCAACTAACAACTTGGGCCAGTCTTTGCAAGATGTGCCGACTCCGTGTCCCAGGGCAGGAGGCTAGAGAACCTCTCCTGGAGGCTATGGACACGCGAGACTTTTTGTGTGGAGCCGCACATGAAGACCTCCATGTCCGTCAGCTCGCTTCCCCGCGAGATGGAGAGGAAGAAGTCCTCGTCGGACGACATGCCCCAGCTGTCCGGTAGCGTCGACTCGATCGCGTCGGAGGAGGCTATCGACTTCAGCGCCGAGGCCTCTCCCATGGAGATCGATCGCCCACGCATCTGCCGACAGGACTCGTGCGCTAGCAGCAGGAGTCGCGGCAAGGAACGCCACATCACCTCGGACGACTTCGAGAAGCTCGTGGTCTCCATCGTCCACAGCAAGGAGCCCCTGGCCGCTCCCCTCTCACTGGCCGCGCCCCTCCCCCTGGTCGCGATGCCCATCATCATCTCTAGCCCTTTCGAGACCAAGCAGCCCGCAGCAGCTCCCGCCTCGCAGCCTCCAGCCCTGGAGCGCACCGGCTCCACCAGCGATTCGGAGCCCTCCAAGGGCTCGCCTCCCCTGTCGGTCAACTCGTCGGCACAGTCGTCTTTGTCGCCCGCTATCCAATTCTCGCCACCCAGCCACACCGTCGTCCGCGGCTTCTCCACCTCGCACATCCCCATGTTCCAGACCATTACAAGCCACCCGAGGCCAGCACCCATCGACCCGATTCCCGAACCGACGTCCTCGCCACAAGCCAAACTGGTGCAGTCCAAGAAGCCGCAGCCCAAGTTTGCCCTCGGTGGCTCTTCTTCCTGCGACGACTCCCTGAGCGATCGCGGGAACAGCCCCAACGTGTCCCGTCAACCTGTCCCCGTCATCAAAAGGAAGATGTTCCAGGTTGGCGGCTCTTCCGAGGAGGAGAACTCGCTCAAGAGTGCCATGCACTCGGCAAGGAGTGGCGGCATGTTTGCCTCGCAGAAGAAGCAGACCTCGTTCAGCAACCAGCTGGTGACGGGCACCATCCCGGCACTCGCCATGGACAACGACCAGTCAGATACTGAGGCCGAGGACGTTGACGAGAGCGCAATCGACGACGACGACGACGATTCCTCCGACTGGGAGGACTCGAACGAGGAGAGCGGCAAGTCGAGCATTGACGAGAAGACCTTCTTCCAGCGTGTCGACTCCAAGGTGAACCTTAGCTCGAGGAGGTCTCTCATCACGCTTATGCTTGAGCGCAACGACCGCCAGGTGAAGCTCGGCAACGGCGCCTCGCAGTCGACATCGGCCATCCACCAGGGTCGCCGCCCGCCACGACAGGGGCCTTCGTTTGTGTCGTCGCCCAACGACTCGGACGAAAGCCCCCTGATGATGAAGAAGGGCACCCGCGCCGCCCACCTCAAGCCCATCAACGAGATCCCGAGGTCGGTCGCGCAGCCCATCCTGACCCCCGGCCACAACACCCACCACCAAGCAGCGCTCTCCCCCAGGACAACGAGGCGCAACATGCTCTCGACGGAGCTGACCGAGAGCCTCAGGCGACACCTCGTCTGGGAGCGGTCACAAAAGTCGTCGACGGTCAACGCGGTGCTCAAGCGCCGCCACACATCGCAAGACGTGGCCAACCTGAAGCAGTACCCAGACAAGGTGGTAATAAAGAAGGACACCGAGGTCAACCCCAGCAGCTACGACCAGTACTTTGGCCGCGATGCCGGATACCACTCCAAGGGCTGGTAGTCGTCGCCGACGGCGTATTCATAATATTTGAAATCATATACAACAACAACAACAAGAACAACAGTCCACCACCCCAGCACCACACGCCCACTTCACCCCAGAGATACCCCACGGGCCTTGGTTGGGCAGATTGGGATAATCTGCCCGTGTATAATCACCATACGAGCACACACGCACTCGCAAAACACATACACACAACACACGAACACATGCCAACAGAACGAGCTTGTTTTTTTCCCTCAATTTTGCAAAGCGACTTCTTTTTGGATGCATTGGGTCTCGGGCGGCGTTTCTTTACTGGGGTCCAACACCGTTTGTCGGCACCCTCGGGCTCTGGTCATGCATTGGGAGTGCATCGCCGTGCTGTGTTACAGACGCCGAACGGGCCGGAGGCACACCGTGTCAGGGTCTCGGTCTCTCCTGTTCCCATTACATATGACTGGCAACACTGCCCTGAAAGATGGGGGCGACCTTTCCATTATTTTGGACTTTTTTATTTACTCTAATCCTTCCTCGACGATCAATTCACGGTTACGGCGTTTCCCATTATGATACCAGGATTGCGTCTTTCTTTTTGTTTTAGCTTCTTTTTTACGTCTTATATTATCTTCCTGTTCCTTCCATTCCCTTCCATCTCCCCTCCGCCGTCAAAGCCTCCGCTTGTGGAGCTGGCGCAGGTGCGGTGGTGGGGTGTACTGTATATTACAAGAAACCGTGCTCTCTCGGATCATCATGGGTCCTGCATCATGAGCGGCGGTGTGGCCTGCCCGGCCAAGGGACACACAGGGCGTGTGTAATCCCACCCCATTTTTTGTCTTGCTCCTGGGGTCAACTTCAGCGAGGTGTTTTGTTGAATTTCTTGGGAGGAAAATGGGAAACCCATGGCATGATTGGAAGATGACCAAACACACCAAAACCAAAAGCTCCCAAAAAATAATTGAAAAAATGGCAACCAAAAGAAAGCCCTTCTTCTTCCTCGCACACAAAGTGGCCCGCCTTTCTTGCATGTGACGGATGATGTGTGTGAAGGGGACTGCCCTTTGTTGGGGCTGCTACTGCTGCTGCTGCTGCAAGACAACCCCAACCAAGTAGTATGTAATCAATCGGGGAGGTAGTATGTAAGCAGATAGACAGACAGGGACAGGAGGGAGGGCTTGCCGAGGAGCCGAGGCGGCTCCATCCCGGGGCGACGGACGGGAGGACCGGCCGGGTCTTTTTCGTCGTTGACTCTTCCCCCCACGGTGCGGCGGCGCCGGTCGGTTGCTGTTTCCGCCGGCCTCTCGCTTCCCTGATCTCGCCCTGGAGGCCGAGCAAGCGCCCGAGACTTGGGGGTCTCGGAAACAGCGGAGACCTGGAATGAGTGCCATGTAACCGGGCAGCAGACCCGGCTGTTTTTCGTTGGGAGGGGTGTGCGTTGGATAGTGTGTTCTGCCACCATGGTGAACTGGCGGTGCAGCATGTCGTGGTTTATGGAGCTGGCTGCCTCAACCAAGATGGGCTTGTGATGCTTTTGTTACTACTGCTGCTGCTGCTGCTGCTGCTGGCACCACCAGCCCTGCCATAACGTCTTCCCAAGACGCGACCCGATTCGACCACTGCCGCCCAGCGGTGTGCAGCTTACCGTGCGCCCCATCCCCACTTTCCAAAAAAGAAACCGACGGCAACGGGGACCTAAACCTGCTGTAACTGTAAAGGTTTCCCTCGGGGAAGGGCGCCACGGCGGTGCAGTACAGTACAGTAGCCTGCATATTCCAGCACGATGGTTCCAGACCCCTCGGGGCGTGTTGGCTGAGCCATCGTTCCTCCTCCCGTCGCGATCCAGAACTCCTCTCCCCCCCCACCGGCCGCTCCGACACGAGGGAGGCGCGTCGCCCCGAGGATCCTCGACTTTGACATGTGTTGCGTATGTGTGAGCAGGTGTATGTAGCCACCTACACTAGGCAGGCATGCATATGCGGTAGCGGAGCTGCGGGGACGGGCCTGGTGAGGGCATCGGGCAAAAGAGACGCGATACCGCAGGGCCTGGAGCTTGTCGGCATACACACACCATCGGAATATGTCCATGGGCGATGGATGCACTTCGTGTTGCCAAGGTATTGGTAAACACAACCCAGTGGGATGACCCTGTCGACTGAGGCCTGCTGGTTCCTGCTAAGCGTTCTTCCACACCTCACCGAGGTGGGGCCGCCATCTGTGACGTGCGCCTCAGGTCGGGAGGGGGGAGTTGACATCTCGCATCCGCAAACGAGCATGCATGCCCTGTCTGCCGGGTTGTTTCCTCCTTGTCTTCTCAACGCTCAAGCAACACTAGCCAAGGGAGGAGAAGATCTGCTTCCACGTAGGCCTAGAACGCCCTCTCGACGCCCGCATCATTTTCGTCGGGTTTGCTCCCAACGACTTTTCAAGACTCCCGTTGGCCGATAACGCGGCCTAGCGCCGTCGTAGACTACTAACACACATTTTGTGGGGCTCTCTTTCCTTTTCTTCTTCTTTTTCATGTCAACCGCGCGATGGAGGGTTGAAGCCTTGCCAAACTCTCTTCCAATACTCTAGAGGCCGGAACCGGGACCCCGCCAATCGACGGGAGTTGGCTCCGGCAGGCAGTGGCTGGTGGGGTCACGCGTAGAAGCTGTCCAGCTGTTTGAAGACCCCGTTAGGGTTTGAAGACCTCGTTAGGGTTTGAAGACTCCGTTAGGGAGAGTCCTGCCAGGCGCATGACATGACACAAGGACATGCACAAACAGCGGTAGGTAGCGGTCAAAAAGGCGGCCAAGATCTTTTACATGGACAAGGCTAGACGTACGTAATAATGGGCTGCATCGAGGGCATTGACAGAGTACGCGGGGTATCAATTCAAGAGGGAGAAAAAGAAATGAGTGGGATAAAAAAAGAAAAAAAAGAGAGAAAATAATGAATATAAACAAGCGATGAGGGGTCGGTCGGCCGACAGGAAAAAGTCGCGCCGAGGAGAGGGGGCGTGTCGCGTTGCAAAACACCCCCCACCACTCAGGGCGCTCTCATGCTTGGCCGTTGTCATTGCCCATCAGCGCCCCAAGTCGTGATGGTTGTAGGTTGTAGGCGCGACTTCATATTTTCACACATATTTTTATCATCTCATATTCGTTCTGCTTTACGAAAGCCGCCAAGAGATGACAACAAATCCTTTCTTCTGGGCCGCCTTTTTCTTTTCTTTTTCTTTTCTTTTTCTTTTCTTTTTCCTTTCTTTTTCCTTTCTTTTTCCTTTCTTTTTCCTTTCTCTTTCTCCCCACACGGACGGCAGTTTATGGGACTTGCTCCATATCTTGCCGCCCTTCCTTTATTTTATTGCGGTCCTACATGCACATAACACTTGGGGACCTTGTTTTTTTAACCTGCCCGCTCACACGCGGCAAAGACACACATACACATCCCCTAATTGAACTTGTACTTCTCGTCCGAGCGGTCTTGTGTGACCCATCTTGCTGGGTTGGGATCGACCTCACCGCCCTGCCCAGGCGCACACGTGCATGGCCGTCATTGTGTCAGGTCCCCTGGCTGTCTCCGCCGCGGATGGGCTGCGACATTTTTCTTCTTCCTTCCCTTTTTAGTACCCCTATGTACCGAATCTTTCTGCACGCGGGTGGAAATAAGCGGTGCAGGAAGCAGGCCGGTGGAGATGAAAAAAAAAGACGTCAACATGACCGGGTGTTTGTATCTTGGTTGGCTATCGCCAAGAAGATTTATATCAAGGCTTGAATCGTGCCGCTTTTCTTTGGGCTTGCACTTGTGCGTGTGTGCCTGTGGTGGGGGTGTGGGCTTGCAGTGCAGCAGTCGTCCGGTCGTGTCCGCTGCCAGCGATAAGAGCTTCATTGCTGCCGAGGGACCCCGCCCCCGCCTTCAATTTTCTATCTCTCTCTATCTCCGTGTGTGTGTGTGTGTGTGTGTGTGTGTGTGTGTGTGTAACCCCCCCGCTCGTCATCGACTTTTGTCGTCCATTCAAGACATTCAAGGCTCGGGAAGGCTTTGGACAACTCATCGCGGTAACCCTCCTTTCGGCCCTCACCGACTTTTTCGATGCATTAATTGGCCTGCTGCCCCGGCCAGCTGAGCAGCCATTCCCGCGCCTTGGATTAGCTGCTTTTCTTTTTGTTGCTATCGTTGAGGTTTATTCATTGCCATTTTATTTCTTTCCTATTATTCCTAACCCTATTTCTTTTTTTTTTTTCTATCGTGTCCTTTCCTACACACCCCAACCATCATATCCCGAAAGGAAACCCTCCCCCCCAGTCATGCTCCCCGCAACACGCCTGACTGTCCAGTCAGTGACTCAGGTCGCCGCCGGCATGGCGTCCTGTACTGGCTCATGCACATGCGTCCCCTTTGCTGCCATATGCTGCAGCGTCTTTGCCTGTGAGATGGCATGGGATGCTGTGTTGGCACGACGCCAGATATGCAAGTGACGGGCTTCCATGTTTGCCCCGTTTGCCCCGTGGGGGTTCTGATGACTCTCATGGGCCAAGTTGGTTTCCCATCGCCAGGCGGTCACACACACACACACACACACACACACACACCCCTCCTCCTAGTCTTGAGTGTTGGCCCGCCGAGTCGCTGGTTCGTGGGGTTGTGTCGTGCTTTGCGCCGCCGGTTGCCTCTCGGGTATTCGGGGTCTGTCGCCGGAAGCCTTTTTGCTTCTGGAAGCGAGGACGTTGAGGCCAGAAGCATATCTGTCTGCCTTGCCCGCACCCCACCCAATGGTACCGCCGATAAATCGTTCAGGAGAGCAACAGACACGAGGAGAACATTGGACGATGGATTTCCTATGATGCTGTTGCTTCCTCACCTCTCACTTGCCCTAGTGGGCTTGCGCCAGCTAGAGACAAGGGGCGTGTACCTCTGCACAGCAAGCCCTTGTACCAGAAGTACCCGACGACAGCGGCATTTCGTGCCCACCTCGGTCGCGCCGACAGGTATGTTGGCTGTTTGTTTCCCGTAGCGTGATGGCGGCACATGGCTTCTCTGCAAGGAGAGGGGCTGGTTCCAAAGTTTGTTTTTGACGCACCCCGACAAACACACACTTCGGACGACTCTCTCTCTCTCTCATGTCCTGCGCCCTGCACGGGGTTCGCAGCTACTTCAGCTACTTCCAGCAGGGCTTGTCCGTCTGTTGCCGGTGCTATATCGAGAAGGCCGGTCTGTATCTGACCCGCTCCCCGTGCCGCTGCTCCAATAGGTACAACGGCCGTGTTCGAATCAGTGACGGTTGGCTGGAGCGGGCGTCTTCCCTTCTGGCTGGGACTCCATCGCCCCTCCGCCCGCCGTTGGTTTCAGCCTTGAGAATAAGCTCGGTCGCTTGATTGGTTCCCGATTCAACTCGCCTCAGCGGCGACTCGGCCTTGACTATCACAAGCCAAAAAAAAAAAAGACCATAATGATGAAATAGCAATGAGCAATGGTCAGCGGTCGAGGCCACCACACACACCATCGCCGCACTCGAAACCGAGATCTATGCCATGTGCAACGGCCCTCTAGGCTGGGGTCATGGTGGCAACCGCCAAACCGACCCGAGGCCCTGCATCTCGTGTTGCACTGCCGAGGCTTGGTTGGGCCTCGACGCAGGTCTGGCTGACTCTCTGACTCTACCTTCCTTCGACCTGGAAGCTACAGTGGTGGCGGCACAAGGCGATGAGACGGATCGCGGGCGAAGAGGGAAACCATTCTTCTCCTGGCTTTTTTTTTCTCTCTCTTCTCTCTCTTCTTCTCCCTTCCTTCTTTGCCTTCCGGGCCGCCACCTCGCCCCCACGTGTGGTTTGCAAAAAGAAGGAAAGACCTTCTAGAAGGTTTCGCCTCGCCACAACTGGACGCCGGGCCATGCCCTCCGGTCCCTCCGGCTCGTTTGCCAAGCCCAACGCCGCCGCCCCCAGTCCGACCGCACAGTCTCCCGTCCGTGCTTTCCAGCCGGCACACATCGGACGGCGTCTGACTCTCTCTAGTGCGCGCAGCCTTTTATTTGCTCCTCTCAGCCATGCATCCTTTTTATTTCTCCTTTTTCTTTTGCCTGTTTATCGTTTTATTTTTATTGTTGATGTTTAACTTTCTTAAATTTCCTCCCAAGCCCCAGCTCCTATTTGATTCCCCTTTATTCATTTTTATTTATTCATTCTATCCGCCCTTCGTTTCCCCATCGTCCGTCCGTCCCCTCTTCTACCACCCCCCCAATACGCCACTTCGCTATGCCATGTCCGAGCATCTCGTGGCCTTTGAAGCTAGATCAAATGTTGCCCGTTTCGGAACATTCGGTCTTGGTTTTTGTTTTCTACGAGTCCTTGGGCGTTTCTTCTACTTACGCCATCCATCGCGAACACGCCTAGAAGGCCCTTGGAAGCTTTCGAGAAGGAAATGAAGAGCGCACTACCGTTTGGAGACGGAGTCACCTTCGTTTATCATTTAGTATTTTCTTCCGTTTTTGCTCGTTGCAATCGTCAGGCAGGTCCATCCCTCGTATAAATTGCCAGTCTTTGTTGCCAACCACGGCGTCTTTACGGCACGTTTTACCTGCATCACGACTGCGAAGCCCATCGAGGCTTAAGGCAAAGGTAAAAACCATCCTAACCAGCAGCCCAGTGGCCGTTCGGTCAACTACGCGTGCTAGCAAGGGACGCTTTGATGAGGGGTTTGGCCTACTGCTCCGATTCCGTGCTAGCTCAGTCTTCCATCCCCCCAAGTGGTTTGGGAATCGAGTCAGTGCACCTTCTCTCCCTCCCGATGGCGGCTTTGGGTGTGCTGGCACACAGGGTTCCCTTGCAGCTGCCTTTAGCTGGCCGATCGAACTTTGCTTTCTTAGCTCGGTTGGCATCTCTAGCCCCAACCCCAGCCCTCCCATGCAGCCGGGCGAGGCAGTAGGGCTGGGGTTGGGCCCCATGGGGGAGATCCTATGCATCCCTGCTCCGCCGTCGTCCTGTTGATGCCTGCTATTCTGCTCCAGAAGCACATACACCGATACTTCTAGCCCACACCAGCATGGGCAGCTCATTCTGTCCAAGTTGCCCGGCAAGTGTTTTTGCTTGGCATCATCGCCCCGCGCTTGGCTACCAGCCCGCCTAGGTATCAACGCGAGGCACGCACCCAGTCGGACGTCGTCCTCAAGCAGCGGTCTAGAAGGCCGTCGTCTGACTTGACGGCTTGGGGCTGGTCTCGTTCTAGAGCCCTCTTCTCCCTCCCCTCCCCCTCCACCACCGCCGCCGCATCGCCCTTGTTGCCGGTGCTTCTTCTTACGTGTGCCCCGACACGTACGTGCAGGGAGATTCAGGGCCTCCGCGCCAGCCTACACCGAGGAAGCTAGGGCACAGGAGTCTCCTTGCGTTGTGGGCCCTCTTCTTTAGCCTCAACCGTTCGCCGGGCAGGAGAGCCCATGAATGTAATACAGGTACCGCATGTACCTGGAATGGATGGTACACATGTGTGCTGCATCACTGACTGACGCGAACGACGGACGGTAAGATCTTGCGCGACATCGGCACTATAACCGTCTGCTTTTCTTTTCTTTTTCCTTTCTTTATTTGATCTTTTATGTAGGTTTATTCGCTCACTTCTTCCTGGGCTCCCTCCTGATTGTATCCGTATCCTCTCTGATACCTCAACAAGTTTATATCCATACACCCCCGAGGCATTGCCCCAGAAACCCAAACGTCTGGTCCTCCTGCTAGCTCTGTTGATCTCCCGGAATCTTTTGAGCGGTGGACTTGGTCCAGTCCCAACTACCGCTCACCCAGCGAGATACTTGCGGTTGTTGTGGTTTCATAATGGACTGCCGTCAAAAGGCCCATGCTGTAGCTCTGCGAGGTCGGCCAAGTTGGGGAGAGCAAGAAATTCCATTGAAGCAAGAAACTGTATCCATACCCTGGGAGTTCTGGACAATCAATCCAAGAAAGCTTGTAGATGCTTCCCACCTTTCCCCGCCGTCGACCGTGCACCGCCGCGCCATCTTCGACTCGAATCCCAACCCATTGGAGTTGGGGTAAGTGCCGTATGCACAAGGCGACCGCGCTCGAGCGAGCACGGTTCGGACAGGTTTGAAGTGAAATAAAAACACCGGGGCGAGGAAAAGGCCACGGGACGAGGCACCCTCCCCTTTTCCATGCGTCGTGGCGTCGTCCTGGCAGGAGTTCGCGCTAGCACGCCCCCCCTCGTCGATCCCCGCTAAAAAAAAAAACCGTGCTGTGCTTTGCTGGACCCGATCCCTACGGCTTCCCCGGAATTTGACCTGCCCCCATATTCATGTCACCATCTCGAGTTCGACACTGTAAAGCCCGTGGGAACAACGTAAAAGTTCCAACGGCAGGAGCGGAAGCCGACAAGGCTGGCCTGTACCACCACATTGCACCGGCCCGTCTATCTTCTCGTGTCAGGAGAGGGGCGCTTATCCAACGAATGGCCTCCACCTTCCCATTCTCTGCCTGGCAGACCAATAGGCGATTCTACCCGAAAAGGATGCTTAGTGATTCATATGGCAGGCGCAGTCTGCTTGTCTCTTGGGATTGGGCTACATTCTCCAAGGGGCAAGTTGTGATAGGGGATCAAGGGCGGCGGTAATCAGGGGCTGTCAACGAAAGGTTAGGGAATCAGTAACTGCTACCTAACGACATATCACTTCCAACTGTTCGTTTCCCCTAAAGATATGGCCAGCACTTAGGTATCTCTCTCGACCATGATTAGCACCTATACAAACTCTTGAATCTGTGCCCCTGTCGCCCTCGGCTTTCTGTCGAGTCAGCCCACGGGGGCTTCTTAGACGAGACACAGTCAGCCGTCATCAACGTGGGGCGAATGGTTTAGTGGTATAACGCTTCCTTAGCATCTGGATGATTCTCGATCACAAATCGTAGAGCATTCGATCTGATTGGAAGAGGTCCGGGGTTCGATTCCCCGTTTGTCCAGTTCCTACAACCTCTTTTTGCTTGCATTGCGGCTTTGTTCGTCCATGCTCCTTGCTAGCCTTAGTTGGTTCTTTCTTTCTCGCCTTACCAGCTCGATTATATTATCTGCAATGTGTGGCATGAGCCGCATTTCGCATGTATCCTACGCCTGTATGTCTTTGTGTTTGCTCAAGTCTGATCACCATGTGACGACGGCGGGCCGAACTCGAGCGTCGTTAAGGTCAAGACGCTGTGGCCAGACGTTGCTCAAATAAACACATTGGTCGCGATATCACGGCGAAACCAGGGAACGTGCGCGATTTCCGGTTATGGAATTTCAATGTATTTCTTCATCGTGGTCAAGGACAACAAATATAAATCTGCGCCGCCTGCTCCGATAACACAACGGCAAGTGAAGACGCAAGGTAAAAAAAACAAAAAACCCAGAGTATGAAATTTTACTTGTTTCGCATTTATGGAGCGCCAACTAAAAGACTTCTTTTTTGCATCCGCAATACAAGAGAGAAAGGGGGGATATCAGGAATTCGTCTAATGTGGTATCTCTCATAGCTCATCGTGAGACCTGGGCTCATCCGAGCCGCCGGCACCGCCGCTGTAAAGCTTGCTGGTGATGGGGTGGGCGACATTGGACAGCTTCTCCTTCTGCTCCTCAAAGTCGGCGGCCTCGGCGGTCGCACCATGCTCGTCGAGCCAGCTGGTGGCCTCCTTTACGGCGTCCAAGATCTAATATTCATTCCAATCAGTAGGCGTTCACAAAAGCGGTTATCAATATTGAGCGTGGCGGGGGTAAAACTCACAGCCTCCTTGTCCTCATCGTCGATCTTGCCACCGAGACCCTCTTCATCCTTGACCTGGGTCTTGAGGCTGAAGGCGTAGTTCTCAAGGGCGTTGCGGGCTTCGATGCGCTCGCGGGTGGCCTTGTCCTCCTCGGCATACTTCTCAGCCTCGCTGACCATGCGGTCGATCTCCTCCTGGGTCAGACGGCCCTTGTCGTTGTTGATGGTGATCTGCTCAGTGTTGCCAGTGCCCTTGTCATGGGCCGACACCTTCAGGATACCGTTGGCATCAAGCTCGAAGGAGACCTCGATCTGCGGCTGGCCACGGGGCGCAGGCGGGATACCGGTAAGCTCGAACTTGCCCAGGAGGTTGTTGTCCTTGGTCATGGAACGCTCGCCCTCAAAGACCTGAATCAGGACGACGGGCTGGTTATCGGCGGCAGTCGAGAAGATCTGGCTCTTGCGGGTAGGGATAGGTGTGTTGCGGGGGATGAGCTTGGTCATGACACCGCCGGTGGTCTCGATACCCAGGGTGAGCGGGTTGACGTCCATGAGAACGATTTCCTCAGTACCCTCCTCGCCGGACAGAACACCAGCCTGAACGGCGGCGCCGAACGCAACAGCCTCGTCGGGGTTGATTCCCTTGGAAGGAGTCTTGCCGTTGAAAAACTCCTTGATCAGGGCCTGAACCTTGGGGATACGGGTAGAACCGCCGACCAGGACGATGTCGTCGATCTCGTCCTTCTTCAGCTTGGCATCCTTAAGCACCTGCTCGACGGGCTTCAGGGTCTTCTTGAAGAGGTCGATGTTGAGCTCCTCGAACTTGGCCTGGGTCAAGGTCTCGGAAAAGTCCTTGCCGTTGAAGAAGGACTCGATCTCGATGCGGGTGGACTTCTGCGACGAGAGCGTGCGCTTCGCCTTCTCGGCCTCGCGCTTGAGCTTGCCCATAGCCTTGGCGTCCTTGGTGACATCGACGTTGTTCTTCTTGTTGTACGCCTTGGCGAAGTGGTTGATAACGCGCTGGTCGAAATCCTCGCCACCAAGGTGGGTATCACCGGCAGTCGCCAGGACCTCGAAAACGCCGCTGTCGATCGACAGGAGAGAGACATCGAAAGTGCCACCACCCAGATCGTACACAACGATCTGCTTCTCACCCGAGGTCTTGTCCAGGCCGTAGGCGATAGCGGCCGCGGTGGGCTCGTTGACGATGCGGAGAACGTTCAGACCGGCAATGATGCCGGCATCCTTGGTAGCCTGCCTCTGGTTGTCGTTGAAGTAGGCGGGGACAGTGACGACAGCATGGGTGACCTTCTTGCCCAAGTAGGACTCGGCGACCTCCTTCATCTTGCCCAGGATCATGGCGGAAACCTCCTCGGGGGACAGTTGCTTCTCCTCGCCCTTGACCTCGACGGAAACAATCGGCTTTCCACCCTTGGAGATAACCTTGTAGGGGAAGTGCTTGATATCGCTCTGCACATCCTTGTCGCTGAACTTGCGGCCGATGAGGCGCCTGAGGGGAAAGTGGCTAGTCAGTAATGCGCCCGGTGGAATGGAGATGATGGGTATCTGGCCGTGTGCGCAGGAGGGGCTGTCGAACTCACTTGACGTCAAAGATGGTCCTGAAGGGGTTCGCGGCGGCCTGGTTCTTGGCGGCGTCACCAACCAGCCTCTCGTCGTCGGTGAAGGCAACGTAGGAGGGGGTGATACGGTTTCCTGGTTGACGCATGTCATGTCAGTGAGGACTGGTTGGACACGGTGGCAGAGTTCTGCCTGTCCCGCGGGGGGTGTTTGTAATTGTGGCGGGGGAAAGCGACATACCTTGGTCGTTGACGAGAATCTCAACCTTGCCCTTCTGCATCACACCGACGCAGGAGTAGGTGGTGCCCAGATCAATACCGATAACGGTGCCATAGCTCTCTGCCTCCTGGGCGTGGGCCGTCTTGACGAAGGCGAGGGGGGAAAACAGCAGGCAGATCCAGGCGATCATGCCCAGGCCAATGGCCATGGAGCTCCTCGAGCCGGACCTCATTGTGGTGGAAGCCCGCGGGAGGCTCTCTCCGAAACTGGCGAGACTGCGGTGGGGTTGTTGTCGCACAGGATTAGGGAAAACGGATCGCGAACAAGACTAGAAGGGGGGAAAGGCTCGCTCTATCCACTGCGACCTGGCGGGAGGAGGGCAGGGAATCGTCGGGTGGTATGGTTGGTTCAAGTGGGAGGAGAGGATGCGTCGAGGAGGGGATTCTTGCAAGGCGCCGCCTTATATCGATTCCGCCAGAATTCCTAAAGGTGGCAGGTCCACCCTAAAGTTACTTACGGTGTCCATTTTGGCAGAAAGGACAGATTTCATCCAAAGCCCACCCGCCTGCCAGCTTTGAGCCCACCACACCAGCCACACGTGACAGGGGTCTTGTATCGCCTGGCGGGAATCGCCAATCCAGCGTTGGCCTTTTTACTGTGGTACAGCCCCTGGGCCGATATATTTCTGGTATTTCTGGTGCCTTGGGGCGCCACCACCAATATCCCTGGACCGCCGTCGTTGCGCGCCTCACTTCCCACCACCACCAACCCTCCCCAGCGGCACGGCGCACGCCTGCAGCACGCTCTGGCAGCAAGGACAAACCCAAGTGTGGTGCACACGGCCTGCTCGCTGGCGCCAATCAACTAATGCGCGAGGCCGGCGTCTGGCTGCTTTCTGTTCCCTTCCAGTTAAGGACGGACTGCCCGGGACTTTGCTTCACTCACCCTGCCTGTGCCACATGTCCATTCCTACGGCGAAACTGGCCCCGTTTACGGCCACCTAGCCTCGTCCGTCTGCGGGGCAGCCCGCTGAAGGGAGGGGGCGCAACAACAGGAAGAAAGCAAACAAAGAAAAAAGAGGACAGATTGGAGGCGCTCTGCCCAGTTGGGCCAGGCAGCGGCGGTGATTAGACTCCGGCGGTTCCTGAACTGGACCAGTCACTCCCCCAAGCCGCCTCACAACCAAAAACAGGAACAGCGTAGAAGGCACAGGAACGTGCCTGAGAAGTCCCCACCAGGGCTCTCCACCTTCCTTGAAGCGCCCACATGCGACGAATCGATCGGATTCCGTCCTGTTCGCTGACCTTCCCTCCGTGGGCTTGGCCCGGTCGGGGGTGTGTGGGATGGGGCTCTGCTGTCGATGCCTTTCGGCAGAGCCTGTGGCGATGCAATGCAACCGCCGCGGCAGCTTCCTTTGTCGGCTCAGTTTACTCACTGCCACTGTGGCCTTTTAATACCCCTGCCGAGTGAGGGGTTGGTGGACCAGACAATATTGGCTGTATGGCTGTCATTCGGTGTGGAGGTGGGGCTACCTGTTTTGTGTGGATTCTTGTTTTCTCATCGCTCCCTCATGACTGATATTATTTTTGACGTCCAAGCCATAGGTCGTCTTTGCCTTTCTAGGCAGGCTTCTGTGAATAATTTTTGATTGAAAATGATCTCGGCCAGTGTCTGCCGCTGCATGGACACCAAGCAAGTGAGGGGGTATCTTGTCCAGGATCCATCTCTGCCGAAACCAATCTCGCCTCCGGCAATGGCCGAATATGTCGACATCCTGGGGAGCTCCGTCCCCCAAAATCACTACCCCTCCTCTCACAGGCCCCTGTCTCAAGAAGCCTGTCGACACCCCTGGGGCCCTCTTTTCTGTTCTTATCTAGACCTCAGGGCCTCCAGTTCGAATTTCACATCCCAATCAACCAGCGACTACGTACAATGGAGAGTCAATGGGCGGCTTTATTAGCAATGAACTCTGAGTCTATCTATCTAGGCCACATTAATTCCTCCGTCCTCCGCCGTGGCGCCACCTAAAACAACAATAACGCTGGGTTATAGCGCGATAGTGAAGACCTTTATTCCAACAAGCCCGCCGCCACTGTTGACCCATTGCTGCGCAGGATGATGCGCTGGCCAGTCTCGAGCGGCACCTTGGATGTCATCTTGACCACGATCCTGGCCGTGTCACCAGCCTTTATGATCCTAGGCTTCTTTTTCGTCACTGCTCCCGTCATCTTATGGAGGATCGCCGACATCTCCTGAATCTGCCCCGCCGCATGTAGCCGCCCCCGATGAACGTCGACTTGCATGGGCATGAGAATGTCGAACGCGAGAATCTTGGCCGTGAAGACGTCGACGCACTCGATCGGGCTCGCCGTGCTGCAGATGATGTCGCCTGTTCGTACATGGATTGGGTCGATATTGGCGAGGTGAATGGTCACGTTTTGGCCTGCCACCGCCCAGTCGATCGACTCCGAGTCTATTTCGAGCGCCTTGACAAATGCCTTCTCTCCGCTCGGCTGAACCAAGATGGCATCTCCCGTCTGCACCGAACCAGCGTCGAGGCGGCCCGTGATGGTAAGAGGGCTAAGTGCCGTGCGGTAGACGTCCGAAATGGTCATGCGAAGCGGCTCCTTCAGCGTACGCGTCATGGGCTCCGAGCTCTCCAGCTCCTCGATGAGAGTTGGCCCAGTGTACCATGATGCGGCGACTGCCGTCGACCGTTTGACCAAGTTGTCGCCGTTGAGGCCCGACAACGGCACGAAGCTGACGTTCTTCATCTGGAACCCGGTTGCCGACATGAAGCCGGAAACCTGCTGGCAAATCTCGTCGTATCGATCCCGAGACCAGTCCGTCGTGTCCAGCTTGTTGACCGCCACGATGACTCGCGAGACACCCATGCTTCTTATAAGCAACGAGTGCTCCCTGGTTTGTCCTTTAAGACCCGACTCGAACGCGCCTGTGCTCGAGTCGATGACCAGAATGGCAAAGTCGGCCTGGCTGGCCCCGGCGATCATGTTCGGGATGAAGTCCTTGTGCCCCGGGGCATCAAGGATGGTGAATGATGTGGCGTCGGTCTCGAATCGGTTGGTGGCAATGTCGATGGTGACTCCCCGGGATCTTTCCTCGGTTCTCTGGTCGAGGATCCATGCCAGCGCAAAAGATGATTTGCCCATCGACTCGGCCTCTTTCCTGTACTTTTGCACTGTTCTCTCGTCCACCACTTTGAGATCCAGGAGGAGCCTTCCCATGAGTGTACTCTTTCCCGCGTCGACATGCCCGACCACGACAAAGCTCGCGCTCTTCTTCTTCTTGCTCTTCTCGTACTCGTCCAGGACATCGAGGTTCTTGCTCTTGGGCAAGGGCGCGTCCTCGACCTTGAGGCTCTTGACCGACTCGGACAAAGGATCGGTCTTCTCACTCTTTGGCGCCTTTTTTGATGTGCCAGCGGCTTTCTGCTTACCGGCTGCTTGATTGTCAGTCGACCGAGGTTCGAGTGTGCCATCACTTTTTGCTCTTGCCCGTGAGCGAACCTTGCGCCTGCGCCGCTAGGACGGTGTCGTCCGGTGAGGGTTGTGAAAACGCATCCACAACTGTGGACATGAAGGCCATGTAGGGGAGGGCAAAGGACTGTTGTTGTGTCACAGCGCGAGAGGTGGCAGGAGGCCCGAGGAGTGTGCGCGCAAATGCTGATGGCTGAGATACCACGGGCAAGGGCATATCCATATCGCCGACTGTTGGAGGCTCGTCCACCTGCCCGAAGCCTGGCCCCTGAAGCGGTGGGTCGGGCGGGCTGCTGGGGGCCGGCGGCACTGGTGAGGGCGCGGTGGCTTTGGTGATGCTGGCGGCGATTCGCAGTCTTTCCATGGCCCCAAGTGCCGGGTTGCGGTTCTCTTTGGTCAGGTCTGCTTCCCCAAGAGACAGGTTCCCCATTTGTTGCTGTGGAACCTGCGCATCTCCAGTACCAGCTTTTTTGCTTTCGGCTGCCTTTTTGCGAGCGGCTGCGAGAGCCTGCAGCTTAGACATCTTTTGCCCAGTTCCCGCACCGCCCAGGAGACCGCCGCGTGCAAGTTGTGGTGGGATGAAGACCGCTTGCCGGTCCTTGGGTATGTTGAGCCACGGCATATCGTGGAAGAAGTTGCCAAACGACAGCGGCGCTGGGGGCGCGGCTGTTGCCATACTACCACTTTCGAGCCCTGCCTGGGCCCAGCTTGTACCAGAGCGATAGTCCTCGAAGAGACTCTCCCCCGGCGCAAAGCATCCTGGGATCCCTGCCTCTTCTGCGCGGACTTGGTTGGTCGGTGTGGTGATGGCAATCGAGCAAGGGCAAGATAGTGCAAGGCAGCCGCAAACAGAGCTGAAAATGTGAGGCTCACCTTCTGGTGCCTTGCCCTTGGCCTTGACGGGCTTTGGCGCAACAAATTTGCTTACGAGGTAGGCAGCCGCTTTGTCCACATCAAAGTAGTAGTGCCAGAGGGCTTCATGGGCCTGATCTTTGGGGACCCTGGATGCTTCTGCGCCCAGTACGTTGTACAGAGCGACCGTGGCCTGATTCATGGTCTCCTGGTCCTCTGGGTTCAAGGTGTCGAGCCCATACTCGTCGCCTTCGTACTCGTCCAGATCATTGTCATAGTCGTAGTTCTGGTATGCCCGATGGCGAGACATTGCTTGAACTGCTGCCGTTGCTGAGCAGCCGTCTGATTAAGGTCTGGGGGGTGGCGCGAGGTTTCGCGTAGTGCTTTTTTCGCTCTCGATTTACCGCCTCCTTCCTTGCTCGACTATGCACGATCCGAAAGGGGCGATGCGACAAGCCAAACGCGCGAGGCAGACCCAGATTGTCGCGTGTGCTTCGAGGCAGTAGTAATTGCCTCGTGGTGAGTGGTCCGTGGATTGCAGAATGGTGTGAATGACTTGTTGCGGCCCCCTCGTTTGGATGATGTCGAGGTTCGTCGCAAAATAAAGTCGACCAAAAAAATTGGGAAATTACTCCTTATTGTGGTCGTTAATTTCCCCTTCTCCGATGACCGTTCTTCCTGCTGGTCCTCTCGTCCATGGAACGTGAATGCTTCAGTGGTGGGGTAACCTGAGCAGGACGCCCGCCCACCATCAACTCAAGCCTGATGGGTGACGCAACAGCCGTTGCTGTGTGTGAGTTGCCCGCCAAAGCACAGGATTTGGTCAGCCACTTCTGCCCCAACCCCCACCAACCATGATTGTCTGACCAGGATCCACTTTGGATGCTTGTGCCTGGTGGTGCGGGCAGATTTTCAGATCGGAACCTCATCGATAAGAAAATGCATCGCGATTTCCAGGGCTAGGCCAAATCTACACCTCTCGTAGCTTTGCGTCGACCCAGCAAACGAGTCCGGACAAGCCGTTTTTGAGTCACCCCTTTCGTTTCTGAGTTTCCGGGTGGCCCAATACTAGATCTGCCTCTATCTGGCCCGTGCCGCCAAACCGTTGTCAAGATGGCGTTGAGTAGGTCCCCGGACCGCCTGGCGGGCACCCCGCCACGAAGCTTGTGTCGCTGTACTGACTGACCGACTCCGCAGACTTGGACCTCGCGAACGGTACGCAGAACACCCCCACGAGCAAGCAAGCCCAAGCCCTGGCTAACAGTATGGACAACCAGCGGCGGTGATGAAGGATGAACAGGGTCGGCCGTTCATCGTTGTCCGAGAGTACGCGCCCCACCTCCCCTTATTCGCTGTCCGCCAGCGCGCCCGCGATAGCTAACCTGCGAGCGGTTGGTGCCTCGTTGCAGCCAAGGCAAGAAGAGGCGACAGTTCGGTAACGAGGCTGTCAAGTCACATATCCTGGCGGCCCGGACGGTGGCCAACATCGTCAAGTCATCCCTAGGCCCCCGCGGCCTGGACAAGATCCTCATCTCGCCCGACGGCGATATCACGGTGACCAACGATGGTGCTACGATTCTACAACAGATGGAGGTTACCAACCACGTGGCGAAGTTGCTTGTCGAGCTGTCCAAGTCTCAGGATGACGAGATCGGTGACGGCACAACGGGCGTTGTTGTCCTGGCTGGCGCTCTGCTCGAGCAGGCTGCAGAGCTGATCGACAAGGGCATCCATCCCATCCGCATTGCCGATGGATACGACCAGGCCTGCGACATTGCCGTCGCCGAGCTGGACAAGATCTCAGATGTCATCGAGTTCAGCCCTGGCGAGACGGCAAACCTGGTCAAGGTCGCGCGCACCAGTCTGGGCAGCAAGATCGTGTCCAAGGCCCACGACCAGTTCGCCAACATCGCCGTCGACGCTGTGCTGTCGGTTGCCGATCTCGAGCGCAAGGACGTCGACTTTGAGCTTATAAAGGTCGACGGCAAGGTCGGCGGTTCGCTCGAGGACACACTCCTGGTCAAGGGAGTCATCGTCGACAAGGACTTTTCGCACCCACAGATGCCGTCCGAGGTTCGCGACGCAAAGATTGCGATCCTGACATGCGCCTTTGAGCCACCCAAGCCCAAAACCAAGCACAAGCTCGAGATCTCGTCAGTTGAGGAGTTCAAGAAGCTGCAAAACTACGAGCGCGAAAAGTTTATCGAGATGATCCAGCAGATCAAGGACACGGGTGCCAACCTGGCCATCTGCCAGTGGGGATTTGACGACGAGGCCAACCACCTGCTGCTACAGAACGAGCTGCCCGCTGTCCGCTGGGTAGGCGGCCCGGAGATAGAACTGATCGCCATCGCCACCAACGGCAGGATAGTCCCGCGTTTTGAGGACCTCAAGGCGGAGAAGCTAGGTACTGCGGGGGTTGTGCGTGAGATGACTTTCGGCACGACGAGGGAAAAGATGCTCGTAATCGAGGAGTGTGCCAACACTCGCGCCGTTACCGTTTTCGTCAGGGGCAGCAACAAGATGGTACGTGCGGTGCGACAGCTGATGGGCAAAGAGCTCGACTAACGGCGTGTTCCTGTGCCCCCTGCAGATTATCGACGAGGCCCGTCGCTCCTTGCACGACGCACTCTGCGTAGTCCGCAACCTGGTCCGCGACAACAGGGTGGTGTACGGCGGCGGCTCGGCCGAGATCGCGTGCAGTCTCGCGGTCGAGGACGCAGCGGTCAAGACACCTGGGCTGGAGCAGTACGCGATGCGGGCCTTTTCCGAGGCCCTTGACACCATCCCCATGACGCTGGCCGAGAACAGTGGCCTCAACCCGATCGCTACCCTGGCCGAGGTCAAGAGCCAGCAGGTCAAGTCCAAGGACGGCCGCGGGCGCCTGGGTGTTGACTGCATGGGCCGCGGCAGCAACGATATGAAGGAGGCCTTTGTCATCGACCCGCTCATCGGCAAGAAGCAGCAGCTCATGCTGGCCACGCAACTGTGCCGCATGATTCTCAAGATCAACAACGTTATCGTGTCGGGCTCCGGAGAGGAGGATTTCTGATCGAATAAAGACGGAGTATCTAGAGTACTAGGTTCGACCTCTCGGTTGGCGTTAAACGCATGATACCAAAACCAAAATAGGGAGAGATTGCGTGTCAAAAGTCGTGTTATCTATAGACTCAGCAAGGCGACGCTTACCCAATTTTGGGAATGTCTGGATTTGAAACAAGTCAAATATCAGACCGTGTCGCTCCTAAGATGTGTCTTTGTGCTCCTCATCGAATCATGGTCGGACTTGTTCAGGGCGGATTCAAGAGAACTCCCTAGACCTATCGTCTCGGGAGCCAATATCATCTTGGGCAATCGCATCCATACAAAGGCCTAGTATGCGTTTAGTCAAATCAAGCATGGTCGATGTCTGTACGAAAATCATAAACCAGTCCATTTCGTTCTTGTTGTTTTTCGTGGGGTTTTTTTTGGTATCCGTAATAAGTTCTCAATGCCTTTGGGCAAATCCTTCCATCTCCTCCACCCACAAAGCCAAGCTACCTAGCGGGTCCAGTTGACTCCATGACGCAAAAGAAAGAAAAAGCGGCGAGAGAGGAAAACAGGGTACCGAGATGAATGCCCAACTAAATGGGGCCATTCACTGGCACATAGGTGGGCGCAGGTGTGTCGCTTCTCCCGAGTTGCTACCATGCATTCACCCTGCTGAATCTAACGCCGGGCAAGAGGAGCAAAGAAATGCAGCAGCCAAGCCTCGGAAGACAGATTTGGCACACACACTGGCTGAGGTAGAAGCGCTCAACCACCAAGCTTGGAGTAGTGGAAGTGCTTTTGGAAGTTCGCACGGCGGTTGTAGCGCGAGTCCACCTGCTGGGCGTGACCTCTCTCTCGGCTCCGCGCCTTGCGCTCCATGCGCGTAACTTCGCGGACCTGTAGCTTCGTGAGCCCTGTGAGCCCTCTCTGCCCCTGGCCGCTGGCCCGGCGGGTCATGACCGCAAAGTAGTTCGGCTTGTTGACGCGCGATATGCGGCTGAGGCCGTCCACATCCATATTCTCCAAGTCGTTCTTCTCGGCGAGCTCGAGTGCTTTCTGCTCAGCACGCTCCTCTTCTGTGACGGGGCGGTTGCGCAAGTTCTGGCGATAGTAGCGTTGGTATGTTCGGTGTCCAACGTGCTTGCCGGTCGGTAGATGCAGCTCATACTCGTCGTAAAATGCAGCATGGCTGTGCTTGTGAGCGTGCGAGTGCCAGCCGTCCTTTTGATGGTGGGCGCGAGTGTCGTGTGTGCTGTGGTGCGGGTGCTTGTTGAGCCGCTCGTACTGGTGGTAGTGGCGTTCTGCAGGGACAGCCGTGAGATCCTCCGAATCCAAGGATGAGGCAGAGCTGTCAGTCTCCCAGCCATCGCCCTCACCCCCTCCCATGATCTCGTCGCCATCCTCGCCGGTCACCGTGGTGCTCCGCTTTGCACCCAGTCTCGCGCCACCGCTGCGCTTCCCCTCAGCACCGTCATCCTCGTCTTCAGAGTCCTCTTCCCCGTCCGAATAGGTACTCCTGAAGTCGTAAAACTCGCCTATCTCGAGCTGCTCCTCCTCTGTGGTATATGGGATCCTACAGTGGGAAGCATCGCGCATGTGCGTCTGGACAGCGAAGGCGCTGGCTTTGACTTTTTGGCAGACAAAACACTCATGAAGCTCCCGGACGCGCTTTTGAAGGGACTCGAGAAGTCCCTCTAGGTCAACAAGATATTGCTTCTCGGGTATGAACATGCCGTGGATACGCTCCATATGTGTGGCATTGAGTGCGACAGTGGGCGACTCGTAGTTGCAGAAGAGACACGACTTGATGGTGTATGCGACCTCGCCGGCCTTGGGCGATTCGACCGGGGTGGCAGAGCCAGAACCGGCTTCGTCTGCAGCTTCCGATACCGGATGATCTGTCTTTCGCTGGCCGGTGGCAGAAAGATGAGGGTTGGAGGGGCGCTTTACGGGAGACGGGCGCCCGACATCGCCCTCGGCATCTCCAGCGAGCTTTGTGTTCTTGATCCCCTCGATCACCTGACTGAACTCGGCCTCCGCATCCGAGTCCAGGTCGATCTTGGGACGGTGGGCAAGGGTAGGCTCGCCGAGCGAGAAGGTGGAGCTGATCATGGAGCCAGTCTCATCTGCGGCCTTGGAGGCATCCTTGACAGAGGGCGACCGGGAAGCGGCCTTTGCCTTGTGGTTCTTGCTGCCGAGATGGTTCTGGTACGCGTTCTCGCTGTAATACGTCTTTGCGCAGGCTTCGCAGACACGCTCGAAGCCAACCTTGTCGGCTTCGGCGCTGGTGGCGGCGCGGGCCAGCAGGACCTTTTCGTTGAAGACCTCGGAGGAGATGGGCGCCAGGGAGGCGACGCGGCGCTTGAGGTTGTAGCGGTGCCAGTCGCCCCTCATGTGGCCCTTTTGCAGTTCAATGTTCCTGAAGGCAACATGGCAGCTGTTGCAGGTGTACGGGTGGCTCGCTGGCGCTCCCATCTTAGAGGAGTCGCCAGCGTCCGGGACACCGCGGGCGCTTGCAATCGTCGTCATGGTAGAGGGCGGCCAGTGATGCTACGCCAATGGGTTGTGGTCTTGCGTGGAGTGAACTGTGAGTCGGAGGTGGAAGGAAAGACGGCCGTGGCTCGAATGTCCTAGAGCGGCAGGAATTTTACTCCAGGCAGGCTACGAAAGCGCACTGGGCAGGTGCTTGGGAATGTGACGTTTCTGATGTACCCAGGCGGACAGATCGGTACCAATGCCCGATCGGCAGTTCTGCCCTATCAGGAGAGCGGTTATCCGAGAGTCAGAGGCGACGGCCTGCTCGGAATGGTGGGTGGCGTCTCACGGAGGCTTCAATGGTGCGCACAGATCTTTCCAGAAGCCTTGGCTCGACCTTGAGTGGTGGCGAGGGAAGAAGAGCTGTTTTGTACTGAAGAAAAGACCAACCGTTTTTCGCATGGTGGGATGGTGCGAGGGCTCGGTTCGGTGGGGTGTCGCAAAAATAATGCCCAACTGGGGGGCAACTTGAATGACAAACTCCCTCGACGTCACCTGGAACACTTCAAATTCCGCCCCAGCGGCAAGCCCCTGTCCTGTTCCACTGGGGTGTTCTGCTGATTAATCGGGCAGTCGGGTCCAAGAGGCGTTTGGGAGGTCGTTATTTGCCGTGGTTGCTCGGAGTGCTTCTGAAAGCAGCTTCTGTTACCTAAAGTAGGTAGGTAACACTTTGCTTCCATGTTGTCACCAAGGTATTGCCGTGTGCACCACCTGTCTGCCATCTATTAGGTACCTGTAAATACATTCTTTTCCGAGGGCCATATAGTAGCCAGGCGTAGCTGGGCGTTTTGCGGCGAGAGACTTGCCACCAGGACAGTGACTATTCAAATTGTTTCCACTCGTGCGCTGCACGCTTTCGCCAGCATGCGCCATCCACTCTCAATTCGTATCCATGTCTCGATATCGACTTGCACTTCTGGGGAAGTGGGGATTTTCGGCTTTCGTGTTGCGACGGCGACGTCTGGAGCCGTGGGCTTGCGCGGCTAACACAAGTAAAAATGGACAGGGGTCCAGGGCACACAGAGTGCTGGATGGATGCACGCTGAAGCGTTTTCATGGTGGTGCTTTGCCCATTTGCCCACGTCGCCCTGTGCCGTTCGCTAAGGGCCTCCTGCAGCCCAGCTAGTCGAGATGGCGCCCGACCACCCAAGTGGGAATGCAGTGAAAGGGCGAAAAGAGCAGCCTAGGCCAAGCTGAAATCCACCCAGATTCGACTTTGATGTCAGGTCATTTTGTGTCTCTGCAATCTTCAATTTTTTCAATGCCGTTTCCTCCGTGGCTTTCTCTCAGCCTGTTCGTTTGTTCGTGCCTGTGATTCGCGCACGAGATTCCTTGCTTGGTGGCCGGGGCTCGTGCTAGGGTCGAACCTCGTTCTCGCCAGTCGTGATCCATTTTTTGCCGACCCAGCAGTGCCTGCACCAGCGATCCTGGTCCCACCAACACAGCACAGAGGAGCCGCCATTGCGTCCATCCGCCAAACGTCGTCCACACGCGCGGCTGAGCCCAACAGAGAATCCATCTCCCACCCATCCATCAGCCCCGATCACACCGCCGGCCAGCCTGCCATCCTGTCCGCCCTTCCTGCCCGATACCCACCGCCGACCTAGCATCCCGCCCGTCCAGCTTTGCGCCTGCGCCGAGCCGACACCGCAATATCGCCAGCAGTAGCACCTCGGCTTCTCCCGCCACCCCCGGAACTATCCGCATCCTTTCGTGACCTCTCCGCTGGTCGTCTGGCGCGCACACCTCCTCATATGCACCACATCCCTCGGGCTTCCTCGCCTCAGTCGCAAGGGGACAGCTGAATCTCCCCGAAGCCGACCCGCGACAACCCTAGCGATGACTCGTGATATCCACCTCCGTGCCTCGGAACCTCAGGATGCGGACGACGCCGACCTGCTCGCTGGTCTCTGGGAGACGGCCGCCTTCCCGCGACTGCCTCGAGATGCCCCATCTGTGCTCCAAGACCTAGTCGAGGATGTCGAGAACCCCAGACGGGTCTTTACCATCCACCGCGCTAGCCGCCGGCACAACTTTCAGGTTCTCGTTCAAAAGTATGTCGGCCTTGGTTTCCCGCGGTTTCCCGCGATGTCGTCTGCCGTTCATGGCCTGTTGCTGACTTGTTTTCATCTCGGACAGGTTCGTCGTGCAGTTGCGCGATGGGTGCGGCTCGCCCACGTGCGAAACTCCCATTTGCTTCAGCTTCCGCAAACGAAGCCTGGGGCGAGTGCCCATCCGGCGCTACAACACGACCAGTGCCCGCACGATCGCCGTTTTCTTAGCCAGCCAGGACAACCCCGAGAGTGCTCTCTGCCCAGCCCTCCGACCGCCCAAGACTGCCCCGGCCGCCCTAGAATTTCTCCATTTCGCGACCAGGCGCCAGAATGGCTATGCTCGTAGCCTTCACCCTAAAGCTTATCCGGGAGCCGCCCCGAGAGACGCCAGGCAAGGCCCCGCCCGCGAAGGAATACGAGAAGGAGCCACTCCTGGAGAGGCCGCTCACGAAAACATGAGGGCTCGGCGGGCCCCTGCGAAGTTTACTGTGGAGGAGAAGCATGTCAACAAAGACCCCAGGTCCTTCGCCGCCAACATGTTCGGTACCGTCGCCTTCAAGATGCTGGAATGGCTAACGCCTGCTAGTATGGACGAGATGTCGCGGAAGGCGCGCGAGTTCCACGGGCAGCCTCCTCCAGGCCGCAGCAGGGCTATGGCCAGAGAGTCCAGGTCCATCTTGCCCAGGACATCCCTTGATAACAGCCAGACGGAACGCGATACAAAGCCACTCGGTTCTGCTCATAACGGTTACGTGCCTGGTGTGCAAGATGCCAAGCCACCCTCAACGGTCGCATCCGCGTCCGTGTCGGCTGCCAACTCGGCCTGCACTTCCACTACTACGTCATCTTCTACATCCTCGTCCTCTCCCCCGCCATCTGCCACTGGGAAGCCGCCGGGAGATCACCGAACGGCAGATCCTAACAGTGACAAATCGAAAGGCGATAAATCCGTCTCCATGAACAGCCACCCTGCCCCGCAGTCGAGGCCGAGCAGCCAGCGTCGGAATTCGAACGCGCGTGTTCGAACATCCTCTACTGCAAAGTCGAAACGAAATCTCTCCATCGACGCGTTTTCAAGCGAACAAGGCGCGACCGAGGATCTTTTTTCGACGCTCAAGTCACCCCGTTTACCTAACCTGGCCCAGGAGAAGGGCGCGAGGCCATCGCTGAAACCTGCAACCTCAGCCATTCCAAGACCTATCTCCCAGCTATCCAACTCGGGCATTCTCGACGGCGTGCCTCTGGAGACCATGCCACCTCTAAAGTCCAGCGCCGCGGGGGAGTCGCGGCCAAAGCCGGGCCGTGGCCAAAGCGACGGCAATGAGGGAGCCAGGGCTGATAGCCACGAGCGGCTTGTTCACTCCCCTGAGGCCAGTTCATCCTCGGACAAGTCATTCTGCGAGGCGTCACAGTCCGAGGTGGACGAGGCATTCGAGCGTGCGTACAAGGCTTTTCTTCCTCAGTCCCTCAGCCGGCTAAACCCCGAGATCGTGGACCTGTTTTGCGACATTCTCCAAGACGACGGCACGGCCGAGTCGCACCTTTTCGAGCCGAGGTATGTCATGCGATCCGACCCGGTCAGGGAAGGAGTGTCGCACAGAACAAAGTCGCTGCAGAGGAAAATACCCACGCCCATACCATATCCGGCAGACCTGCACTATCGGTGGATGATGTTTGTGGAGCAGACCTTCTTTTATGTGCTCAGCGACCCCCGCCGGCTCATCAAGTCCTTCACCAAGAAGGGCCAGCTCTTTGACTCGCAGACACTGTGGTACTGCATGCTGAGGATGAGCCGCGTGGCACCCACTGTCGTGATACACAGTCTGTGGATGGCGGCCGAGGCCTTGTTCATCCCGCCAAAGTCTGTTCAGTCCCTGAGGTCACCCAATGCGAGGCTGTTCCCCAAGCAGGACAACACGCTGTCCGATGCAGAGGCTGGCGCGCTGCTGTCGATATGTCTTCATCTCTTGATTGCCGTTGCCCCCGTGACGCTCAGGAAGGAGGAGCTGCAAGACATGTCGCGCATCCGGTCACACGGCTTAATCCTGGCCAGGACCGGCGCCGTCGCGAGGCAGACTACTAAGTTATGCCTTGCCTACAACGACGCCCTTTCGAACGACCTGGCGATCCGATTGGCCAGGAGGCTCTTTTCGGCCATTCCAACACGCGAATACTACAGCCAGATGGCCGCCGCAAACATGGTCTCTGCGGACGGCCAGCCGGAGGAGTACGAGATCCTCACGCCGCTATTTCAACAACTAGACTTCCTAAACGCCGATACGCTACATGGGCTTCTATTCACTATCCAGAACCGGGCCGTGCATGAGATCCGGGCGCCCACCCTTCTCCTTGATTGGGCCAGAAACATCATGCTCCTGGAGTGGGATGGTCAGCCCGAGGTGCCAGGGGACGGGCCTTTCGGTGGCGCCCTGGCGCTGATCAAGGCCATGTGTAAGTTCACGTCTATATGCCCACCAACCCTCACTCGAACTTCTGACGGGTATGAGGCGCCGGGCGCCGGGTGGTCATTACTAACACGAGACCAGATCACAAACGACGGCTTCTGGTCCTCGCCGACGGCCAGTTCCGTGCAGACTATTTCGCGGAACGACTGGACGAAGTCGAGGTGCCTGTGTCGTGGCTGTCATTCAAGTCGAGCAAACACAGACTCCACCTGCTGGATTTCCCATACATCTTCAGTCCCTCCAAGTTGGTGTCATACTTCCGGTCCATCAACTTCTCACGAATGAGCCGCTCCTTTGAGGAGTCTAGCTCGCTGCAAGAGCGCATGAACGCCATAATCCCCCCACGTGGCAACCTCATCATCAACCCACACCACAAGCATGTCTTGCAAGACATGTTGAAGGCCGCGTCGTCCAAGTACCTGGTCCTCAGTATAAGGCGAGACAGTGTATTGATGGACACGTTTGACCAGCTCTGGCGAAGGGAGGAGCGCGAGCTGATGCGGCCGCTGAAGGTGAAGCTTGGCGAGGAAACGGGCGAGGAAGGGTTTGACTCTGGAGGAGTGCAGCAGGAGTTCTTCCGCATGGCCATGGCCGAGGCACTCGACCCCGACTTTGGGCTGTTTACGGTTGACGAGCGCACAAGGATGACGTGGTTCAACCCAGCCTCACCAGAGCCGGATTTCAAGTTCGAGCTCATCGGACTCCTGTTCTCCCTAGCCGTCTACAACGGGCTAACGCTCCCGGTCACCTTTCCCGAGGCTCTGTACTGCAAGCTCCTAGGCGAGCCCGTCACTGACCTACATCACATATCGGATGGCTGGCCGGACCTGGCGAGCGGGCTGACGACGCTGCTCGACTGGGACGAGAAGGACGGGGCGGTCGAGGACGTGTTTTCGCGCACGTACGAGTTCTCCATCTCGGTATTTGGGGAACCGGTCTCGCGAGAGATGAAGAGCGGCGGCGAGGCGCGGTGGCCGTCCTTCCCGAGCAAGCACACGTTTGGCGGGGTGTCTTCCGCGAGCGCGTCTGTGCCGCTCCAAGACGGCAACCCGCAGGACGCACCGCTGGTGACGCGGGAGAACCGCAACGCGTACGTGGCCGACTACATTCGGTACCTGACCGACGTGAGCGTGCGGCCGCAGTTCGAGGCCTTCGCGCGCGGGTTCCGGACTTGCCTGGGCGCCAAGGCGCTCACGCTGCTGACGCCGCGGCTGCTGCGGTCCGTGGTGGAGGGCGTGCAGGAGATCGAGGTGTCGGAGCTGCGGCGGCACGCGCGCTACGTCGGCTGGGACGCGTCGCACCGCACCGTGCGCGACTTCTGGTCCATCGTCAAGAAGTTCGACGACGGCATGCGGCGCAAGCTGCTCGAGTTCGTCACGGCCTCGGACCGCGTGCCCGTCGGCGGCATGAAGAACCTGCAGTTCGTCGTGCAGCGCAACGGCGAGGAGGAGGGAGACGGCGGCCACCTGCCGACGGCCTACACGTGCTACGGCACCCTGCTGCTGCCCCAGTACCGCGACAAGGAGGTGCTGCGCGAGAGGCTGTGCATGGCGCTGGAGAACGCGCAGGGGTTCGGGTTTGCGTGACGGGTTCGGGACCTGGGTGTTACCTTAATTTCCCTGGAGGTC